CGAAGGTCGATTGGTCAGATTCTGACCGACACAAATTAAAATAGAAAGTAAAGCTTAAAAAAAAATATCTCTTTTACTTTAAAAATTGATGAATTTTGGTTAGGGATAATACAAAACTACAATATAGTTTTTCTATTTTCAAAAAGTAGTATCTCTGTAATAAAGTGGGCGTTTGGACATAAGAATTGTAAAATTCCAAAAAAGGGTGAAAAAAGATTTCAAGTGAAAATGATATTTTAAATTTAGAGTTGTGTTTGGATGAATATAATTGGATTGTTTTGAAGTTTTGTGAGTGAAAATTTTGAAAATGAGTTTTTGAGTTTTTCAAATTTTGAAAATTTCCAAAATGCATCTTCAAGTGAAAATTGGAAATTTTATGAACAAACGCTTATTTCGAAAAAGTAAAATTTTTTTTAAAAGGGAAAAATTTCTACGGAAGTATCATCCAAAAGTTGAGCCAGAGGTTACCATAACATCTTGTTTGGATGGTTGTTACATATCGTATCGTATTGTATTGTATTGTATTGTATTGATATTGTATTGTACTGTATTATTTTGATGAAAACAATATTTGAATAGATTGTGTTGTTTTTTGTCTTTTCATGATGCCACACACCATTAAGTAAACTTAAAATATTTTAAAGAAAAAGTAAGGTACGAGGCATGATTCTTATATAAAAGGTAGGATGAAGGATACAATAGGATTATTTAATAAGAAGGAAGGGTGAGATGAAGGAAAAGACAAGATAGCGATGCGACCAAACCAAATCGGTCATTACATAAAGTGACACTTTTTTTCATTATGTAATAACAAACTTAACAATACGATACACTAAAATTCAAACAACAATCAAATCAAGTATTCTATTTTAAGTAAGAACACAATACAATACAATAATAGGTAACAACTATCCAAACAGGCTGTAAATCCCATTAGGATTTCATACAGTTTGTGGATGATAAATGCTTCTGAGATTCAAAGCTGAGTTGTATATATGTCCTTTTCCGTTTGACCATGGATTAGGTACTCACTAACTCAATTAATTAATTGGAATTCATATAGCTGAAGGGTCATTTAAAATATATCCATTCTTCTTAAAGGGTATAGTAAATTTGAGTTAATTGGATATATAGTTGCTAATCTACTAAATAATAAAATTTGTTAGGGAAAGCAAAAAACCAAAAAAAAATATATGATAAAAGGTTTAATCGGAATCTCCTTTGCTTTAAAAACTGATGAATTTTTGTTAGGGATAATACAAATATTAATTTTTTCTTTTTTTCAAAAAGTAATTATCTCTGTAATTAAGTATCATCCAGTAGTTGAGCAAGAGATTACTATAACACCTCGTTTGGATGATTGTTACATATTGTTTCATAATTTATGTTATATTGTATTTTATTATATTGTACTGTATTATTTTGATAAATACAATGTTTGGATAGATTGTACCGTTTTTGTTGTTTCATGATACCCTGCACCAACAATATGAAGGTAAGCTTACAATATTTCAAAGAAAAAGTAGTACAAGGTAGATTTCTCATATAAAAAGATAGCTTAATGGGTAAAATAAGATTATTTAATAATAAAGAAGAGTGAGATGAGAGAAGAAAAGAAAAGGTAACGACGCTATCACACCAAATCGGTTGTTACATAAAGTGAGCCTTTTTGTTATTATGTATCGACAGATCTAACAATACGATAAAATTTAAATAGCAATCAAAACAAACATTATATTTAAAATAACATCACCATCCAGTACGATATGTAACAACCATCCAAAAAAGTTGTAATCCCATAAGGATTTCAAACAGTTTGTGGATGATAAATGCTTCTGATATTCAAAGCTGAGATGTATATTTGTCCTTTTTCTGTTTGACCATGGATTAGGTACTCACTAACTCGATTAATTCGGATTCACACCGTGTAAGACTCATTTAAGTTATATCCATTCTCCTTAAGGGGTATTGTAAATTTGAGTTAATTGGATATATAAATGCTAATCTACTAACTAAAGAAAACAAAGTGTAAAAAATTACCTAATCTTTAATTTTTGGTTCCAGAATGTCTGTTAAAGAGAACTATAATGGGTTTCAAAGTTGGTATGTTAATTGATGTATGTGGCTAAAGAATTTGGATCATGCTCAAATTGGGATATGAATTCTTGTTCTCATTTTACTACTACCTCCTGGATGTCATTAACATTAAGATATATGTAGTAGATCAGATTAAACAAAGCTGAAATTATGTGGTTAAAACACACCATAGTGTATTGAAAAAGAAAATAATTCACAGAAAGGCATATTTAAGGGGAAAACATAAAATAAAAAACGAAAGAGTAAGACTACATATTTTAAGATGGAAAAACTAACTAGATAGAGAAGTCATCATAAAATAGACATGAAAGATAGTGGAGTAGAAGATAAAAAGTCTCCTGTTATCTTGTTTTAGTTCCAAAGTGTTTGGCAAAATTTTAGTTGAACAAATTTTGGTGTTGACAGAAAGACAAATGGTGATTATCTTTCTGCTTGAATCAAAGACAAGAGAAAGAAATCACCTACACAGTCAAGTATCTGGCTTAGTGATTAATAAAGTTAGAAGAGAATTATAAGATTTCATGTCCAAACTTTGATGGATAAGATTGGTGGGAGGAATCATATAACCGGTGGAACAATTGAGTAGCACACAAACTGGCCGAACACCACTATCATTAAAAAAAAATAAAGAGGATGAGAGATAGAAGTAATATACTAGATTATATCGAGAAAGCAAGGGCTAAAGAGAGGAAAATCATCACTATTGAGGTATGGTGAAGAAAGTGGGAGAGCGAGTGGCTACTCTCTTATAGAACCATGTCAACTCGCAAATAATGTGACAAATGGGCAATACACACACAATCCAAAGTTGAACACCCTTGTAAAACAAACATGCCCCCTATAGTCTATCCAAATTCCAATATGGTTGTGTTGGATAAAAAAGACAGTTGTGTCTCATAGGCACTTTTATCAATTGATAAAGATGGAAATGTGTTCATTTATGCGCACAAGAACTGAAAATTGTCTCCTGTAATTTTTATTAGTTACATATTAGGCTAAGTTTTAACTGCCAATGGTCGAGTCATAGCTATAACTAATTATCATTAACAAAGTTTTTCACACACTAGTCGCAATCTATTACTATTACTAATTAGTATCATTTAGACGCAAATTCACGACAATATCGTGGTTTTCTGTTTAGCAAAACGACACTTGTACCTAAAAATGCAAGAGGACAGATTCCCCTCATAATTACCTGATAAAAATCCTACAGAAAACAGCTTAAGACTCGATTCGAGCAACTCGTGATGTCCTTGCACTAAACAACAATATACAATTTCATCTTTTCTTACAACGTTTATAGAAAATATGAGTCGGACATAATTAGAAGATACTTATACTGGAAAACAGCATCAGTAAAGGGAATTATCAAACACCCATGGCTCGTGCTGGAAAAGTTCACGACCATTCATCTGCACTACCCCTGCAGCTATATCCTCTGCACGCTTTCTTGCCACTTCAGCCTTTTTAGCTGATGCATCAGCGTCCTGAAAATGATATCAAACCTCTCATGACTCGTTGGACGACTACAACATTCCCTCGTGAAATAAGTACAGCAGTTTTTTTGAGAGAAAAACAGATAAACCACTTGCACAAAGTTCAGAAATCTATAGAACTCTAACTATAGAACCCAACAAATATTTGAAAGAGGACATCTGAATAATAGTAAAGGAAGTCAATGAACAACAGCAGACTCGGTTAAAGCAATTCTTTTGATGGAGTTCCTCCATGCACAGGTGAAAATAATTTGTGAAACTTTGAACTCTTATGGAGGCAATGCTGCTAGATCGACAACAAGAACACCCCAGCAGTGCTACTAGATCACAAAAGGATATCTCACACGATTTGGCATCGTAGACTAATATGAATGTCTTATCTAAGTGTTAACTTTTGCTTGAAAAAACTATATAAGTAGTTCTACAGTATATTTTGAACATAACAAAACATTTTCTAGTAAACTTTTGGAAATGATCTGTGCTTCTTACATCTTCTCTTTAGCCGAGGGTCTTCTGGAAACAGCCTCTCTGACCTACCAGGGTAGGAATAAGGCTGCGTACATCCTACTCTCCCCAGACCCCACTTGTGAGAATACATTGGGTTGTTGTTATTGTTTTGGAAATGACCTAAATTATTTTTATGAAATTGGTGACAAAAATTTCTTGAATGAGGAACTTAACAAACTAAAAACCGCAAATAGGAGTGAGCGTTCGTGAGAATGCTAGTGAGCGCTGATATCCCCAAGCTTTGAAGCTCAAATTTTCTTTTTCCAATCTTTTGCTACTTCAAGGAACTTTTCTTGATTTTATTCTGGTGACTAAGGCGTAGTTAATTTGTCACGACCCATTTTCTAAACAAGCCGAGACCGGCACTCGATCACTAAACATGATCGAGCGAACCATCTCTGCTTATCAAATCTATTATATCTCCAAACATTATATGCAACAAGGCAATACTCTAACCAAATACTTTTGATTAATTCAAATGTTTAAACAAATCAACTCCAAAACTTTATTCGTAGTAACTACTGAATTACTGCTAAGTTATATATAAAAAAAAAACATCTGAATCTCAACCCAATGACTATGTCTATGAAGCCTCTACTGATAAACTGACGCACTGCTCAGGACATGAGATTTCCTGGTCAGTTCTCTAAGTAACAAAGAAATAACTAAATAAAGATGACTCTAAAAAATACTCCACGAACAAAAGCGGAGCTCACCAACAACACTGGAAACGAAGGAAGTCCTAACTCGTAGCCTGCTCGCTTGCAAATCCGGTTCCTACGTTGTACCGCAGACCAACATAGGTTCCCAAAAGAGAACGTCAGTACCATCCATTGTACTCAGTGAGTCTCAACAACAGGGGGGGCGAAACTTTAATAACATATACATTACGAGCAAAGGTTCTAAATGTATGTAAAACATAAAGCTTATAAAAATAATTCTAAATAACTGCATAATAGCAGTTTATGAATATTCTAAAAGAAATTCTTTTCTTTTTCTTTCTTAAAAAAAAATACTTCACTTTATACTTTGGGAGTTCCAACTATCCTGACTTCATTTTGTCTCAGTCACCGTGTGATCGGCACGGGTTCGATCCAACCTGATCGAATAGGCCCAATCCACGAGGTGCCACTCGCTTCATGGTTCTCAGCGCTCATGTATCATACCTTAGCATGGCTAAGTAATTTCTCAGCAACGAGACCCTCGGCTCGTGTGCTCCCTACTTTGGCACAAGTAGTTTCAGGAAGTCAACGCCTTGGTCAGGACCCTCGGCCTGGAGGATGACCCCTTCTCAGAATAAAGGATACTCCCAAAAATCTTTTCTTTCTAAAACTCCTTCTTGTGACTATTCAAGTCTAAATCGTTCGAACATACTTATTCTAAAATTTTTGAATGTAAGGTATGGAATAAGAATGAAATAAACATTCAAAACTATTTCTAAATATTCTTGCTTTTTCATGAATTTTCAACATGAAAATGGCATATAAGAATGACACCAAAATCTGAAAATTTATGCACATATATCAAAATAATTCATCTAACTTTAACAAAAAAATAATTCTAAGCTAATAGGAACTCACTCACTTCAATTAAGCACATATTCACTCTTTTAGCCAATTCATCAAACACCTTGTATGCATACTTTTGTGAGTTAAACCACTTTGGTAAAGGGTTATATCAACTCACCTCAAACTTTTCGAGCCAATACGTAGGCTCCAGTCCAATTTATACCCGTCAAACAATTGATTCTACAATAACCAGTGCATTTTAATTAATTTAAAAGTTTCACACCTAAACATAAAATCTATTGTTGATATGGAGAAAGAATGGAATTAACTATTCAATTCTTACCTATTACTACTATAGGGTAATTGATAATAGGGAATTTTATATACCTGAGTTCAAGAATTAATGATTTGCAAAGAACCCTAGAATTTTCAGTTGTCTGCGTAAGTATTTCGCTGAAACGGCTTTAGGAACAGAATGTCGACTCCTATCTTCAAATGGCTTTCACGCCTTTCTCTGCCAAGAGCCCTTTATGGGCTTAAGGCTCACGTGCTCTTTTCCTTTTAGTTCTCTCCTTTTTTTCTTTTTCTTTTTTTGTTTTGTTTTTTGTTTTTTTTTTGTTTTGACTTAACTAGTATTTAATTATACCTACTTTTAATAATTAATAATATTAAAGTTATTAATATTCCTCTAATTGTATATCCAATTATTTATAAGTAGAGAAGTAACTCAAAATTAATCACACGGGTTTAAATGCGTAATAGAATTATAATTTAAGTTTTAAAAAAATTAAATTCTATATTTAGCGTGTCTTGAAACTTTTATAGCTTTGAGGAGTGTTACAATCTTCCCTCCTTAAAAACATTCGTCTTTGAATGTTGCTAGGGCCTTATTCTTAAGCTAACAATCATTCCTTAGGTCCTTGAACCTCTTAAATTTTCTTAGCACTACTGACTCTTCCAAGGGACTCAAAATTTTGGCTAACTCCCT